GAGCCCGAGGCTTGTTTTTGCCGCGTATCTACGAGGATAAGAACTGCGGTTGTAAAAAATATAGATAATGTCATAGAAGCGGTCGGCTTCTCATATTTACTGAGGTCCTTGTTTGAAATATTTTGACAGTTCTGGGTAGAAACGACGCAAAGGGCGGGAGCACGGTGCGGGTGTTCCTTCGTGGAAACGAACTTGTTATTTATCATATGTGCGTAGATACATAGGTATATGTAGGTATAGGTACAAACGACCGCGAGTATTCGAAACCTAATTTTGGGATTATTATCACGAGCACGCACAGGGTAGGCACTCTCAAAAATATTTCCAAAATCGTTACCATAGTCATGAACTTTTATAGAACATTCTCATGCAGCAAATATATAATTTGAAATACCTCGATAAATTGACCTAAATAACGCAAAGGTTGGTAATTACGGGAAAACTAATTTAAACAATTAATGAAATATTTGAATTTTGAAGTTTTAATGGGTAGTTGACATGAAAATTCATATTATAGGTACTTACATGTGTGTGTATATAACAATTTAAACCTCGTGTGGATTCCTAAAATTGTTTATGAAGTAACTTTTATGTGCATTTTTGCTTTTAAATACGTATATTATGTGACATAACATATTATATTTTTATTTAGCTATATAGATTCCACCAAAACTTACAGTACTAAGAATTACCATATACAACCCACCTCGCTGTCAATGCACGTTTGGTTTACGTCTTTAAAACACGACATGTACCTACCTACATGTTACACATATGGGAAAATGAAGTCATACACTTAGGTAAGTTCAAATCACATTATAAGATCCTTTTATGTTTAGGATATGTTTAAATTAATTTAAATGTAGGTATATGACATTATTTTTACAGAAAGAGAAATATAAATATGTGGATATGTTTTCTATAATGTACCTGGTACATCAAATATGTGTATATTACATAAAGTCGTTCCATAATCTTGTACATAAAATATACATAGGAGGATTGTTTAAAATTCTGTCACGAAGTGTTTGTGTATTCCTCACACGTATCGGGGCGCAGGTGATACCGTGAGAGACACGGTTCAAGTTTTATTGTTATTCCCACTCTGCGAATTGAATTTGAAAGAAGCGAGTGCCAGCGATCAATACTACAGTGCCCACAAGGATGAGCTCCCCACCCGCATTTGCCTACCTCTATTGTGAATGGTAGGTATAGTGCTCACCTCACTTTGTAACTAATGATTTAGTATTTATATAAAAAGGACGGTCACCATTTACTGTCACGCATGTAGTGCCCTCTATTGTCAGTAATTTAGATATTTATAAATTCCTATAGTTCCAAAGAAATTTATTATTTTTATTTATTTATTTAATGCTTTATGCATAAAAAAATGTACGAAGGTGGACTTAATGCCATAGGCATTCTCTGCCAGTCTACCCTGGTTTTGCGTAGAAATGAATGATTAGGTGCACTAAACTTGAGTAAATATACAAGACTTGATCAAGAAATACATTTAAACTAAAAGCGAAAAAACGGGGATGGACAAAGGGAATATATAAATATATATACATGTCCTTTCAAACTTTCTTGCATCCATATACCTATACATACATAGATACAAAAAAAAAAACATATACATAAATCATATAATATTGGTATTTGTCCAATGATGATGTAGCTACTTTGTGTTTAAGGAGAGTTCTTTGTTCTTTCTTTCGCCTTAAACGAATTCACGAAATTTAATGCAGGTACTTCAAAAACGATTAAATTTTATAATAATGAGACCATGAAATCTAAGTTTCAAATCGAATATATATCTACACATATGTATAAGTATGTGTTTAACACAGGTTTAATGTTGAATTTTTAAACTGTGTACTACATCTAAGTTCTACTTATTTCTAACAAGTCTTTGTTAAATAGGCCTTTTAATAAGTGTTAGTACTACTTATTTTTAGTTGGATAATTATTTTTTAGATTATTTTTAGGGGTTTTCGGCTGTGTAAATTTATTTTTATCTCATGTGGATAATTTTAATTTTAACCGTATTTCATCATCATCATCATCATCCTATCGCAGTCCACTGCTGGACATAGGCCTCTCCCATTGCACGCCACTTAGATCGATTTTGGGCTTCTCGCATCCAGCTCCTGCCAGCCATCTTGCGCAAATCGTCACTCCACCTGGCCTGTGGGCGTCCTACACTACGTTTGCCGCTAAGCGGTCTCCACTCAAGAACTCGTTTTCCCCAACGGTTATCGGTTCTGCGGCTAATATGGCCAGCCCACTGCCACTTCAGCTTGCTGATCCGGTACGCTATGTCGGTGACCTTAGTTCTCTGCCGGATCACCTCATTTCTGATGCAATCCCTTAGAGAAACGCCGAGCATAGCCCTTTCCATAGCACGTTGAGCGACTTTGAACTTGTGGACCAGCCGTACCTTAAGTGTCCACGTTTCAGCTCCGTATGTCATGACGTTTAGGACGCACTCATCAAAGACTTTCGTCTTAAGGCACTGTGGGATCGACGATGAGAAGACTCGACGTAGCTTCCCAAACGCTGCCCAACCCAACCGAATTCTTCTGTTCACCTCGTCCTCGAAGTTGTTTCTACCTAACTGCAATGTCTGCCCGAGGTACACATAATTTTGAACAACTTCGAGAACGGCACCGTGTACCGCAATCGGTTCCGGTAGTACATGTTCGTTGAACATGACCTTGGTTTTATCCAAGTTCATCCGTAGACCGATGCGTACAGAAGTGTCAGCTAAGTCATTCGGCATTTGCTGTAGGTCCTGCAACGTCTCTGCCATGATGACGATGTCATCTGCAAATCGCAAGTGAGGGATGTATTCGCCATTGATATTGATGCCACGCCCTTTCCAGTGCAGCGTCTTGAACATGTCCTCCATTGCATTTGTGAACAATTTCGGGGAAATAACGTCCCCTTGTCTCACTCCTCGATGCAATGGTACGGGCCTTGTTTGCTGATTCTGTACTTGGACGGACATGGTGGCGGCTTCGTAGAGACATCTCATCACTTGGATGTATCGCCAATCTACTTGGCAACGCTGCAGGGACTCCAGAACAGACCAGATCTCGATCGAGTCAAAGGCTTTCTCATAGTCCACGAATGCTAGACACAGGGGCTGATTATATTCTTCGGTCTTCTGTATAATCTGCCGCGCTGTGTGGATGTGGTCTATCATGCCATATCCGCTCCGAAACCCAGCTTGCTCCGGTGGTTGGAATCCGTCGAGTCTTTGCGCAAGACGGTTCGTGATGACTCTCGAAAACAGCTTGTAGACGTGGCTTAGAAGGGATATGGGTCGATAGTTCTCCAACCAGGTCTTGTCACCCTTTTTGAAGAACAAGACGACCACACTCCTACTCTACGCTTCTGGAGTTCTCTCTTCAAACAGGACAGCGTTGAAGAGCTTCGACTTCCTGCCCTTACGCTGCATTTCACAAAATCTCATACCTTCTTCCCTGAGGATCTGAACCACATTTTTGAGGTTCTGGTTTACGTCGATTGTGGTTTCCACGGCAGCGAATCGGTTTTCCAGTTTTGACTGGAACGTTTCAGATCCTGTCATGGCTTGGAGCCGAGTTGGTCGGAGCCTGGATTTCATCAAACCGTATTTACATGATACCTACGTATGTATATGTGTGTATAAGCTCAAATGAAGATTCATAGAGAAATTGATACAAGAAAATAATACCGAAATTTAATTTGTTATTTAATAATAAGAAAAAAATTACTTGAATCCTATTTTAATTTTGTTTTAGAGCCTTCCCTTCGATCCGAGCTTACGGGGGTGCTATTATCTGAGCCGTTTTATCTTCAATGTAATCTTGTTAAGAGGCCCCGCATCCCTCGCACCCCTAGTCTCTGGCAGGGAAGCAATAATGCTGAAATCCCGGGTTTTTGGCGCTTAAACTAAGCCAAGTATTACTTTGAAATCCATAGCAAAATTAGTATTTGTTTACACCTAGCCATAAAGGTACTTTTTTTATAATTAACTAGATTTAGCTATATTAAAAAAAAAACAATAACTCAGTCATTTAATATGCCTTAATTAACAATTTTATAATCTGATTCTAAAAGTTAGGCACATTATCCACTAAAATTAGCTTTCAGAGATAATAATTAAATAAGATTAATTACACAACATTAAAGTCAAGGGATTTGTTTTAACTTATATTTCTATTTGGTGTTTATTTTTTTATTTTCAAGGTATCAAACTAACTTGTACTAGCGACTAGTCATTAGCTAAAAATAATATTTTTAATTTAGGTAGATACCCAATCCTCACAGTGATATGAATAATCATATTTTATTGTTGTATATTGAACGGAGTCAATATAACTTCTTAAGCGAGTAGAGAACTAACTAACTTTTTTAGTTTTTCAAATAATCGTCAACGTTAGGTCATCACTAATTTACTACACATCGAACTATAAAATGAAAATAAAAGAATAGATAGCATCACAACCTGAATGTTCTATTTTACCTAATTCCTACATCAGACTAAAGAATCGCATTCAAAACATCAACAGCTTCCACATACCTGCACAACAATTTTGTATCAACTAAATAGACGATGTTTGGTAATGAGAAAACGTTGTATTCAGATATTTGTCAAAGATACCCACTTGATATTGATCTAGAAAATATCTGCCTATAACCTGCCTATAACCTGCCTATAATAGAATCAGATGCAGTTACTCCATACTCCTGTAGTTATATTACCTAGTTATTATTTATTTATTTATATTACTTTATGCACTTTGTATATCTGCGATCTTCCAATTAACCTTTGGGGTGCAGTAGAAATCTTGTAAGGAAGGCGCACAGAGGTTAGATTAGTAATCGACTAAAATATATTATAATCTGTGATATACTTCAGTATAGGATACTCTGCCTTCAGTGTCATTTATTTTTGATTTTGATTTTAAATTAATGTATGTTTAGTTGAAGTAAATAGTGTTTTATTTATCATGATATGGGATTGCTGCCCAAAATTAACAAAATGTTGCTTTTGTGTGACGGATCTGAAGACAGCCTCTGCGATTATTGCTGTTCTAGGAATTGTTAGAACGTTTGTATTACTTAAAGCGTTTTCAAATTACACAGAATTTCGCACTCAGTATTCAATATAAATAGCAATATTTAATTTGAGAAATGTCTTTAAAATTGCCTTATAAAAATAAAGTACTTCTAAATTGATAATTAGGCATTGAGGTTAGAGAGAAAGACCAAATCATACAATACTTTTATAAACCCTGATAGGTTTCGCAATATATAAATAATTTATTATGCCTCGATTTAACGGCAATAAAGTTTACATAATTGTTTCACAATTGCTTTAATATTCCTGTTACTAATCGTTGATTCCGATTTACAGGAACAAAATAGTTCCTATCTGGTGTATTCCATGTCTCTGACACATACCAATTATTGACAGGTAACAAGCCCAGCAGTATCATGGGCTGTGGTACGGCACTCATACGTAATAAGGGTCTCGTGTGTTTTGACAAGTCGTGAAGACCGTAAAGATGTAGTGGATGTACACCTTAGTCATTTTGTAAGTACTTATTGATTCATTTTCAATTTAAAAATATCATAGTGCATGTTGTTGAAACACTACTACCAGTACTTGGCTACTAAACGAGGAATATAAACACTTCCGCTGCCACCAGAAAAGTCAAACCGAAATATTTTAACTCTACTAATATGAATTTTCACAATTTAATCCAAATGAATTTAGCAACTAAACTATCATGTATATATACGTATGTATATGTGTATATATGCCGTCAATTTATACATATGAAATTACTTTCCCTGACTCACTGACTGATTCATAAAAGCAGACGTGAAATTTTGGCAGCTGATGCTTTTTATATTATTAGCCAATATTATAATTTAACTTTTTATATTATTATCCGTGTGGCAACGGATTAAGAATCCACCAATCACAAGTCACCACCCCTATTCATACCGTGGATGTCGTAAGAGCCGACTGAGGGAGCAAACTACGCAGGACAACAGCAATGCAAAGAGAAGGAAAACTTGAAACAAACCCTATACCTACCCGTCTGGCCAGCATGGTAAGTAGGCCAAAACCTCCTTTCTTAGGAGAGACCTAATGCCAGCAGTGGACTATTACAGGCTGTTGATGAAGCCAATATCGTAAAATTTCAATAGAAATTTTACCCCCCGTTTTTTTCCTGTGCGGACCTCCATCGGATACCATCCACCAGTGGGGTGGTTATGTCGGACTCGAGGCGACCAAAAACCGCACGCCGTCTCCAGGTACCGGTAGCCGGAGAACCAGGTATACCCTAGAAAGGAAAGCCCTGGTAAACCGACGTAACTCGGGCAAGCGAGTAAAATAAGGGTTGTATTTAAGTTCGTCATTTTCAAAATTAGAAACACGAAATAATAAATAATCTCGTGGGCTCTTGTTTCAGTTAAGTTTCGGTTTTGGTGCAAATGCCGGTCTAGGACCATCCTGCCTAGATCCTGAGGCTAAACCTGACCCCAATGATCTACCACCATCCAAACCCCCCGACACGACCGATGTCCCTAAGTATAATTTTTATTTGTCGGTTAAATGGGTTGGCTGGGTAGTGTTGCTGGCAGACTTCGTGTTTTTGATATACAGTATTTTCTTCTTATATAGACTTTATCAGGTTGGTACAATTTAACCCTGGTTTACACATTTTTTTTTGTTTTCTTTTTTTTCTTTTTGAAAAGACAACTCCCGCATACATGAAATGGACACAAAGAACACCCAGACTCAGAACAACAATTTGTGGATCACACAAAGCGTCGTCCTATGTGATGATCGAACCTACAACACTCAGCGTAGTAGTAAGCGGTGTGGCGACCGCTTAAACCACTAAGCCATCCGTGCAGTCTGCACAGCGCATTATTATCTTTTACCTGCACCTTTGTCAATAAAATGCGGGATTGGTGATTGTGACATGTTTGATTTTTATCAGTAAACTTTTCTTTCATAAAAATAGACATTTGTACTTTTCCAAAGTATAAATTAAAACATTATTTAGCCTCATAAACTGTTTCTTATATTAATAGAATTTAGACTGAATTGTTATAAGAAAATGCATAAGGTCTACATGTGGCACTTTCACTGGTATCTACATCTCTATAAGAAAATGAAAGCAATGAACAACCATTTTAATTTCTTATTTTATTGTTTATATTTTTCAGCCAAGATCTGCAGGATATCAGGCAAGTTTAATATTACAATTCATGTGGGCATGTATAGTGTCGATAGCACTATCATTTGTCTACAGCATGTTGTATGTATCGGCTTGTATAACAGTTGGGGGATCATTCCCTGTATTCGAATTCTTCTTCTCATTCTTCGACGTTATTTGTGAGTATACCTAAGTTCCGTTAATTACACTGTATCTGTGTATATGTAATAAATCCCTGTGGTGACGAATTACGAGTAAGATTACGGAGTGTCACCACTCCTATTCATACCGTGGTGTGGGAAACTGCTCAGGACAACAGCACTGCAAAGAGAAGAAAAAGAAACGCTATACCAACCCGTCTAGCCCAGTAAAGTAAGCCAAAACCTCCTTTCTAAGGAGAGGCGAATGTCCAGCTGTGGACAGTTGAAGGCTGTTGATTACGATGACATATAATAATGCCAGAATGATTAGATACAACCGAATTGTTGCACTTAATAAGATATAACAACAATTTCTTTGATAAATGAATTTATAAAAAATGGTTTTATTAAGAAAAAAACATTACATCTCAATTACGTTCATTTTAGTTCTAACTCCACTTAGTAGGTTCATAATTTTTACGCGATTAGTCGAATGTATTATTTTGCCTGTTGCAATTCAAGGGTATATAATTCTCATTAATTCGATTTTACTCCCGTTTCTGTAATAATAGGCAATTATAAGTATATCACGGAATACGAAAGTTTAAAAGTTAATAATTACTTAGTAAAACAATGTGCGTTGCTGTATTATGATAAGTACTATTAGTTTAGATAACCTAGTCTTGTAAATTAAGTAAAAAATATTTTTTTTACTTCTACCGGGATTCGCAGCGGGTATGTCGGAATCGGACCGATTAAAACCACACGGTGTGTCACTTTGCGCCTGTAATGGTAGGTATCCGGGCACTGCTGTCATTAAGGCATCCGGACCCCTACTAGTGCTTTCCCGCAATGGCACCACCTTCGGGTAAATTCTCTATTTAGGCCACGTCCGGCATACAGTCGCACCGCCCGCCGCCACCGTCGTTTTGAAAGTTTGCCCTTCCCGGGCTGTGACCAAAGTGTCATCGGCATAACAAATTACACTAAGCCCCGGTGAGGGGAAAATCAGCTCAAAGGCCCCAGTCGTACCCTACGTTCCACAGTAGGGGCCTAAGAACAGACCCCGTGGAACACCGCACGCCATGATCCGAGACCTCAGATTACCATCTCGGTCCTCGTACACAACGGTATGCTCCTTTTAATAATCTGGCCCTAGCCGCCTCAGGTAGGTACTCTGACACCCCGTAATAGTGGAGTGCTTCCCTGATGCAACTGAATTACAGACTATTAATTGCGTTGGCGATGTCCAACGACACCGCCAATAGCACGCCGTCACAGCTCATCGCCTTTTCGGTCACGGCTCTCAGGTGCAGAACAGCGCCGACCCTTGAACGCTTCGCTTGAAAACCGAATTGGGTGACCAACAGGTGGGAGCCTATCTCGTATAGGTGGCGGATGATGCGGGCAGAGAGTGCTGTCGCAAACAATTTACTCGCCTCTCCAGCAACACGAGGTGCCAGTAGGCTGCGACCGAATTGGCAGGCCATCCCGGCTTCCTGAACAGGCCCAGCTTCCCGCTCTTCCAACACTCACGGAAACGTTTACGTCAAACACCTCCCTGAGGCGGTGTGACATGTGGTATCTGCCCGACTGCTAGCCCGAACTCTCAGTTCGGGCTAGCAGTCGGGCAGAAATACCGTCTGGTCCAAGGCCTTTGTTCTTGGAGCGGATCCTTAGAGCAGGCGCCCTTTCCTCCGAAAAATTAAGTACGTCTTACCTTAAGGTACACACGCGCCATCTAATATAACTGCATCTCTAAATAAGTATAGATGTCTTTCACGGCTTGCAGTCGCTAAAAGCCACGTACTCGTATGCGTACTTAAATTCACAATAAAGAACGAAATGCATCGCTGGATATAAACTGAATGTAGGTGATTTTTACTAGTTCTACATGTCTAGTTGGAGAAAGGTCGGATTTAATAGGATTTTCCTTTCAACTCTTCTTTCATTCCTTTTATTTTATTCTTTTTTTTGTCCTAGTGTTTGTCATATATTTTAGTTTGTACAGGATTCAACAATAAAATGCGGTCATATTTCGTGGTGCACAAGAAGTAATAACATAAAGCACTACTAATCTTAAGAAAATAAGTGATTTTATTGGATACAGTACTTATAAATTGAATTTTAGTGGAATACTACAGTAAATATAATTTTTCGTACAAGAGAGAGAGAGACAGAGAGAGAGAGAACTAAAATGAATGATATTGAGCATTTACTTCATTTACCAATGATGTTGATTTCGTGATGCTACCAACCTATATATCGGCTATTTATAATGCTCCTAAATTTGACCATGCCCTTTGATAACTGTATTAAACAATACAGTTATCAGTGGAAATGTTTCAATAGCATCCAACATATTTTCTTCTAAGTCTATTAAAGCTAAGGTCAATATTATATGACCGTGACAGGACAGTTGACTGCACGGATGGCGGAGTGGTTTAAGCGGTCGCCACGCCGCTTCCTACTACGCCAAGTGTTGTGGGTTCAAACCCCACATGGGACGACACTTTGTGTGATCCACAAATTGTTGTTCTGAGTCTGGGTGTTCTTTGTGTCCGTTTCATGTATGTTTGTAAAGTCCAAAAAGTACAAAAAAAAAAAAAAAAAAAAAAATACATATTTCCATAATGGAGGTTAAAAACACTATCAATTTATTTATGAATAGACCTTTAAAAACTGTCTGTGAAGCATGTTTTTCACAGTTCCAATCCAAAACGCCATTGAACAGTTTTCACTAGAAACTTTAAAAATAATAACTGAATATTTTTCTTGCTTTTCAGTATGGGGTTATTTTATAGCAGTGATAAATTCCTACAGTGATTTAGTTGGTACATCTCAAAGAACCTAAAATTAAAAAAATAAAAATAAGGCCAACTGAGTGATTCTGCGACGTTTCTCCTCGCGAGGATTAACAAGTTAGTAGGTAGGGTATAAATCAGACGAAAAACATAGAAAAGACTACCTAGGGGAATGCGATGCGAGGTTGCGATGATTGGACCACATAACTTTAAGGTGTCATATCTAAATAAATAAAAAAAATAGAGTAAAACTTGTAATTATTTTTAATCCTTTCTTAATATAGATACGATGCTACCTATATTAATTTTAAGTAACGTTGATCAACTTTAGCAAAATAGTAATAAAGCATTTTTAGATCCGTTTCTTTCTGGACCACCGTTGTATTAAATGGACTGCCCCGTTGCCGATAGGTACATTTGATTTGGCTCGTTTAATCTTACTGATTTTTTCCATAATCGTTTCATCATACGACTAGGATCAATAGTCACCAGGCTCGACACTGTTGCCTAGCAACCCATTGGTCACGTTCTAACGTGCCAATTTTTTTTAAATATTCAGTTGGTCCAGTGAAAACGCCGGTCGATAGCAACCTGGATCGGTTTGGATATTTTAAGTTTCGTTTTATAGTATTTTCAAATAAATGAATTTATTACATTATTGGTGCTATTTTATTTGATTTACAGCTACTGTTATTACCCCTATCTTCAATGATAGACACAGGCCAGAGACTCTAGAAGAAAAAAATATTAAGTTAACTAAGTTGTTGTTAATATGTTATTAGAACTAAGTAGAATAATAATAATAATATATCTCTCACATCTCACACACGGCATAGAATAGATAAAATTGGTTAAATAATATATATGCTTTGAAAATCTGAAAAATCGTCACTTCTAACGTAGTTTGTGGTTACGGCTGAGCTGTTAAGGCTAGCAGCGTAATTACCTATACATAGCCCAAAACTTTCCTTAACGAATATTCTATGCTATTAAAAACAATTACTCAAATCTAATGGACAATTTAACAATGGGTGCGTTTAACGAACAAACAGTCAAGGCTAAGCTAATTGTTTGTTTGTTTGTTTATTTGTGTGTAACGCTTTATCGCCTAAACCATTAAACCGATTTTAAAAATTCTTTCACCAATAGAAAACTATTGTATATAGGCACTAAAGGAGCGATTTTAAAAGTAGCCAGCTCAAAATCTTTTCTATTTCCTACAACTATAGGTTCAAAATGTTCACCTTTCGCGATTTATAAAATATCTTTATGTAAATCGTAAAATACCTTCATATAAAGATTAAAAAAATATCATAAACCTATCACACAGTACTAAAACAACACTTTGCTTACCTATCACGCTGGTATTTCTAACTTATTATCTTAATAAACATTAATTTTATAAATATAAATAAATAAAATTGCAATTAATGTGGGATAAAATTGTGTTTTATTTATCATATTTTTTCTAAAATACTATTAATCTATGGTTGTAAAACATCATGATCCAAACTGACAAACATCTAAAAATCACATTAAAGTATGTTTGTTGTGACAATGTAACTGTCATTTATCAATAACAGAAATATGTGTATAGATAAATTAGGTTTGTTAAATTTATATCATGAAAAAGTTTGTAAATTATGTTGATACAAAATCAAAAACTATACCTTTTGATAAATTGCCAGTTGCAGACAAAAGTTGTTTTTGTTTTCCTCTGAGAATTGGCAGCATTATCATAGCTATTTTATGCATCGCTATGGCAGTAAGTATTCACAATTTGCTTATATTAGGCACGCAAAACTCCTGATTCTTTTAATGATTATGATCATAACGACTTTCTAATCGTGTGTGTCGATTTTGGAAATATACTTGACCTCATGTGCCAGATCATTACTCGCACAGCCGAATTTAGCCTTGTCTGTGTTTATTAGGCTTTAGAAAAAAAAGCAGGTAATGAAAGATACTTATCATTTTATTTATTTCGTAGTATATATTTACTTATCATCATTCACTCGAATTAAATATTTGAACACACATAAAAAGATAGAAAATAATTTATTTTTTATCTGTGACTTGTTCCTGCACTTATTTTAATATTTTATTTACTACTAAACAGTGAAGTGAACACATTATTTAAGCACTCATAAAATGCCAGACAATGGTTGTTAAACATATCTATCTACGTGATTATCGCAATTATTACAGTGCTTATTGCTGTGTGTAGCATTTTGATACCGAAAATATTTATCTAAAAACACACAGGTAGGTATATAATTATAAATTTTGTTTCATGCCGTATAAAATTAATTTATACCCAATGAAACGGAATGATAACAAATAAATGACATTTACCTCCACTTATTTACAATTTATTACAGCTTGGAGTTGTCATTATAAACAGCGATTCTTCAAAGTGCTACCCAGGCCTTGACATAAAAATTGCTTCTATTTTCTCAATACTAAGTCATGTTGCTTTATTATTGGCAGCTATTTATTTTATTTATGGTGTTATAAAGGTAAGTAAAAAATATATAAAATTGATACCGGTAGTTTCTAAGTTTAGTAGTAAATCTTAAGTTGATTACTAAAATATATATTTGGAACTGAGTTGTATTGAGCTCTTCAAATTATATCTTCAAATAGTCCCCAGCCACACCATAATCTTGACGTAGATAGCTAAAATCTCCAAATAGTACTTCTGACGTATTTTTTGTTTGAATTCTATTGTCACATATTACACCTACTTAACTTTTTTTAAGTATCATCATTGTAATAAAAGCTGTACTTATTCTTCATCCTGAATATTCACCTCTTAGAGGTGGAATATTTTCTTCAAGTTTTAATTTTGAAAAAAGTCATTAATAAAAGAGGGTAGCAAAAGGTGAAGGTATCGTTTAGGTAAACGTTTTAGTCCATGTGTTTATTGAACAGTTTCTTAACGAAACTGAAAGCCTCCAGACAGAGAGTCCAGTTTGCTATAATGTGTAACGATGAAACAGAAACCTGTGTTCTCGTCCTAATATGTCAATGTCATTGTTACCTAGTGTGATTTGTGCTTATGTTTCAGAGCAGAAGAAGCATCTGTCTGCACTAGTGCCATGAAGAAGAAGACACTAACTTGTGATATTATTGTCGACCCTATTTTTTTTATATAGTTTGGCGAGGCCGCGACAAGGCTCCCATTTCAAAAACGCTTGTATTTTCTTACTCACGGCATATTCCGCAACTAATATTGTTCAATATTTATTACTAATACCTATCACTATTTCAGTTTCTAATAGAGTTTATCATCACTATGAAAGTCAGAGTGTGGTGCGGTTACCGCGTCACATGATTTGGTTTTATAAACTATATTTAATAAACTAAAATTTAATTTAATTTGTAGAAAGACTCGAAGGCGGTTTCGTTGTTTCTGGTAGCACTACTTCTAGTAATGATCACGACGTTGGCAGAGGCAATCATTTGGTTTTTTACCAAAAATAGTAATCCTACAACATGCCCCAAGACCTACATATTCTCAGGGGCACTATTAATGAGATTATTCAGTAAGTGTTTTTCTATCAAAACGCTAGTCATTGACGGTCAATGAATATGTGATTACTTAGTCAAATTAGCAAGAAATTAATATTTAGGTTTTTTTTTTGTAGATTTGTAGTGCAATGTAGTTACAAATTTGGTGTTTTACAAATTAATTATGTTTTACGAGGTGTATACTATAATAATATAATATCCAATGGCACATTTTACAATATGAACATTATATTGCATGATAGCATGAACATATTACGTAGTGTAGGACGCCCACAGGCCAGGTGTAGTGACGATCTGCGCAAGATGGCTGGCAGGAGCTGGATGCGAGAAGCCGAAAATTGATCGAAGTGGCGTGCAATGGGAGAGGCATATGTCCAGCAGTGGACTGCGATAGGCTGATGATGATTGCATGTTAACGCATCTAATACTGAAGTACAACCTAATGCCTACAATAAAATAAGAATATGCAAGCCTGTGTGTTTGAGTGTGAGTGAAGTCGAAGGGAATTGATATCAACGGGTTGTTGTGAATGTTGAATAGTATAATGTATGTAATGTAAAACCTTACAGTACCTACTAGCACTTGCTATTTTAGGACAGTCACATGTGAAGTGATTTTGTGTCGAAATAGTATTAAACTAATCTTTGGAAGAGCCATGCTTCTTCACAAATGGGCCGGCTCGACCAGATTGACACCAAGTAAAGAAATTGATCTTAAACATTTTCCTCGTTTCACCGAGTGAGTGAGGTTACAAGATATCCACCCCCTCCCCCACCCCTTAATTCTGGGGGGAGCACTCAAAGAGGGGTGGCAAACAAAGAGTTGCAGGTAAAGATGGGCTACTTACCATCAGGAGACCCATCAGCTAGTTTGCCTACCCATTCAATAATCAAAAAACCTCGCTATTGTTACTTAACAACAGGTAGTTCTATAGTCCTGGGCCGGCCGACATCCTCAAAAACAAAAGCGGTGTTAAGAATTTTTATCGTTGCATTTCATTTCGTAAATTAGGTAAAGTGTAGGGCCAAGTATACTCCCTTGAGGTAGACTATAGTCTATTGCAAGATACTCACTAACATGTTCATCGATCTTTACGTACTGTGTTTGACCAGTAAGGTAACTCTAATACAACTTTAGCTTCTAATCTCTTAGGTACACCAATTATTTCTACTTTTAACATCAGTTCAGGGACAAAGAGCGCTTCAAATGCTTTTCCAAGTCTAGAAAGATGCCAATACATTTATCTCCCTACTTTAAAGCAAATAAATTGAGATTCATTTGTGATAAAACTGTACATCAATCGTTTCTCGTCAAACCAAGAGTGATTTCTAGGATATGGGCCTGTTATAAAACTGTGATTAAAGGAGGACTAACTATCCATAGGAGGATTAACTATAAGAAACATGTGTAATACAATTAGTTTTTATTTTCAATGCTATTATCTAAATGTAATTATGTTTTTTTTCAGTTTTTTCTTATTTTCTAATCACAGTTAACAGCTACCGAGTATATTATTTATCTGAAAATCGTGATGAAATCATCCAAGAATCACAACATAGGACTGAAAACATAAATAAAACGCTTCATGAGACGATCGAAAAGAAACTTGATGATATTTCAGAGAAAAAGTAAAATTGACTATAAGTGATTTTAGTCTTTAAACGTCCTACACGTAAAGAAGGTACGTGATGTCTTCGGGATGTGGCAAGTGCGCTTATGTTTGAATACGATATATATAATAAAACATTGTCCAATATTCAGTTGTGCTACTGATCATAATAAAAAATATCAAAGACTGTTATGGATCAGTATTATATTTTGTTTTTGGAAGGAATATTATATGGAAACAGCCAAACGTGAACGTAGACCCTCCCATTCTGATGGGAATAGGAAAAACGAAGATTTCAAATAATTTCTCTAACTACATTTTTAAGCAATATTTGAAAACTTTTTTTTCCTTGTTTTTTTTGTAAAGACATTATAAGTCTTTCTTAAGTGGGATTTCGCTTTACTTAACAACAAGATTAAATTATTGTCTTTTACGAAAATTATAAATGTGAAATAATATAAGTGCTTTATCATTTCATACCTAGATGTTAGATACATCATCAACAGCCTTTACTAGTCCACTGTTGGACCCATGTCCAACAGTGGACTAGTATGTCCATGCCTCTCCTTAGAAAGAAGGTTTTACTATACCACGCTGGCCAGACGGGTTGGTACGGGGTTTTTTTAAGTTTTCCTTGTCTTTGCCGTGCTTTTGTCCTTCCTAGTTTGCTCCCTTAATTGAAGGGCTAATTACACCCATGGGATGAAAAGTTGTGGTGACACCCTGTATTCTTAATCTACCACCACATTTGATTATTCATTAAAATCATTTAGAATATTGTTATTGCCGTGACCTAAAGTTACATACAAATAAATAACTTTCAAAAATTGCACTCATGGAAAAATGTTTTTATTTCAGTCTGCTATTATTGGTCAGAATCTCGGAAATGTTAATTAATGACAAAGCGACCGCTTCTCATTAACTGTGATATCGAGCATCAACATAAATGTCAGTGATGCGGTGATTTTAATTATCGCATCACCGACCCACCACGCAGCGGCAAGAGGGTTTAGTCATTTTAATTAAAACTTAACATCGCGCCCTTTTCTGTCCAGGATTAAGCCAGGATTAGTCCTCCTATAATATTATGATAGAAGATAAAATATTTATTTTATTGATTAATACTATCTTAGTACGCTTCAAAATAAAGTTGTGATGCAATTTAGCATTTAAATATTACAGGTCTGGATCTTATTATGTCTTCGCATCTGCCTCATTTTTATTTCTGCGATACCCTAAGAGAGTGCCTTAAGCTTTGGAGTCTACCTTTTTACAATATACCTTTGCTCAAAGTTTTAATAAATTTATAGGTAAAGATACTTGATCCAAAAATATACGAATAATAATAAAAATATAAAAATACAAGTTATATACGAAGGTGTAGGTATATGCAACACTGACTTCCTTATTCCACGATAACGTAACTTGTTTCTAAGAGACATTTGCGCTGATATCATTTCATCACAAATATATCGATTCGAATAAAAACGGTATTAAATGCAGTCTGAATACAAAGGATTACCGAAGTGTATCCATAATATAACATGTCATTCAACTTCCCGAACATTTTATTGGGAAATGTCATCGAAAGCCCCACTTACGAGCAACCAACCTACGTCAGATGATGTTATCAAGTAGTACCGAGATGGTCTATTGTCATCTCACTTTATAACATATATAAACCAAAAGCATAAGTGAGACAAATTTACCTACTTAGTTACATATTATAATTGTGCATCTTTAGCGTAAATTGCTTAACACTTGCTCGTTGGTTAATATTACTTACCTACCTTATTTAATTGAAATTATGTTGCTGAAATGGTTTTTTTGCCAGCCAACCGATTAACTACCATAATATAATGAGTACTTAGTAACTGTTTTAAATTCACAGAAACCCACGAAGTCATTCTATTCTAAGGAGTGCAAAAATTTACAGAGATAAGACAGAAGGAACAAAATGAATCAGATTTGAGAGCGAGATCGCTGAATTAGTTATTTTATTATACCTAATCGTATATTTTATGAACATAAATAATTAAGGTTCAATCCTGCAAAATATAAAATTTAATCTTTATAAGTAAGATAAGGTTTTTTAATTGAGCATTAATTAATAATGCAATGTAGCATTGATTTACAGATATCTACTTACTAAATAGTATGCATGTAAAAGTATAGGAAACGACTAAGTTTCGTATACTTTTACATGCATGATAGTAGACAATATAGACAGAAAAGGCGAATATACCTATTTAATTTTATATATTATAACTGAATAGAGTTCTGTTGCTTGAAACAATGAAAATACGCCTTAAAAGTGTACCTACATAGATAAGCATATTTAAAAGAAACAGTAAAACATCTCATACAATAAATAACATTTTACGCGTAAAATATCTGTGAGAAAAAACACAGTGTGTCTACGTGAAACATTTGGAAATTTCAAAAGAAAATATCTCCATCACGTCGCGGCCCCCGGCGGGGGCGTAAAAAAGAAAAGTATATAAATGTTAAAGTATAAAAGAAAGTCACTTCCTCGAGATAGCTCGTTCCTCCCGTGGCCCGACTTCGCAGCTTTTATTACACCGAGCACGTGACAGGAACAGCGATCTCTCCTTTGAATTCTCTTAGGTATTAAACAACCTATATTCAGAATGTCGCAACGTCGTATCTTAACTTATGTATAGCACTTGTGGCGTATTGTATTTTATATATGAACGTTGTACGTCAATGACGAAAATACTTCGTTATTTGTATTTAAGTAGTACAAGGTTTGAAGCTTACAATAACTACCTAATAATGACCAGGGATATTATGGAGCTCCGTAACTATACCTAACCGATCTACCGGCTATTTGAGATAATTACCTATCCGAAACAACCAAGTTTGATATAAAACTTTCCAATTTTAGATAGGGATAACATCCAATAAAGCATGGCATAAATTTTATATCATTTATTTTATTGTGCTGGTAAGCGCTACCCATAACAAGAACGTTTACACTACCAGAGGTATCATGAACGAGTTACTGACACAGTAAAACCATTTTCATGTCCTCTTTATTAGGTACCTTTTCTAGGTTTTAAGTATTTTATAATTAGGCTTTTAGCCTTTATCAGCTACATGCTAATTTTGCTAATTCAAAACGAAGTCTTATTTTTTAATGAAAAGAGCTCTGAGGTGAAATGCTTATTTTCATTTGAGTGCAAGCCACCATGTGTTATATTATCCATTTTATTAAATAACCGCTCTACTCTACCCTCCCTAATGTGAAGTAAAAGAGTGTTATTGTACCTATTATCCGTGTAGTGTCCGAGGTAGGGTAAACACAACGTATGCTCTGACTGGAGGATATTTTTACAGCGGGGGCGTCGAACTGGTCCACATCATCTCATTTCCATTTTGTTTGTTGACGCCACAGACTCCACGTAACGACATTTTTGGAGCCTCTCTCACTACGTAAGCAAAATAAGTAGGTTCAAAATAAGGGCTCATTCATGGGTACGTACCTAACTATGATTTACACTTTATTTTATGATTTTCCTAATAGCTTTTAAGGTAATACACCTACCCAGTGATGTACATACAGGCGTGAGTGTGGCGCAAAAAATCATGTGAGTTGGTGGTAGCGGTAGATTTATTGTCTATCTAAAGATATAAAATCGAAAAATTAATACATTAAGCTTAGACTTGCAATGGTCTTCAGCAGTCTTAAATGTAGTTTCTAGAAATCACGTAATCTGCTCAGTCAGTACTCAGAAGTGCAATTAATCTATGTCGATACCGATGTCTAAAATGAAGTAATTTTTTATTACACTTTATTTTTAAAGTAAGTATAGCAACTCTAAAGCTTTGGATAATATTTGCATTATATTATAGAGAATTTATAATTATTTTCAAAAGCCTGTACTTCAAGTTTACTTAGATATAGATACTTAGGTAGGAATATTTATAGCCTTTTACACACACATGAAAGCACTTAATGGACTGACGACTTGAAAATGGCTGCTAGTATAGACTAGTGGTAAAAAGAGTAGCACATAAGTCCTCCTAGCTCCTGCTTTCCCAAAGAGACGGAGTTTCGAAGAGATTTGACATCCCGTCCAAAAAAAAGGTAAAAAAAACTCTATAGGTATACTACTATACCCTAGGCTGGTTGATTAATAAAGGTTATGTCACTAACTGTGTCAAATTAGTTAGTAAATGAGAGAATTTAATTGTATAGGAAGTCATTCCACCTATTTTAACATAACAACGAATGGTACCTATTAAGGTACTTATGTTGTTTATTTTGTCCTTTCGTCAGCAGAAACACCAATGTGAAATCACTAGGTATATTATATGTCTATAGGTACGTAAATCCACTTCTAATTTTACATCATGAATAAGATAAACTAAAACATGAAGAATAAGATAAACTAAATTTCATAGAATATAAGATACAGAATTCAAAATTTCTTTGTACATATTGTGGAATTTAGTGAACAGTAGAAAAAGGTAATATTATGCATAACAAAGCGGGAGGGCCCTGAGGAGGTGCCGTCCCTTCGCCTTATTCATAACGGACATAAACCCGACCCTTGTGATTGGTATAAGAAAATATTTTAGCTGGAGAATGTGACCATAGTAGGAAGATATCTATATTGGTATATTGATAGGAATTTTCATAACCTAATTTTAAAAAACATCTTATATATTTTCCTCTAGTAGATTGCATTTTATACCTATGGTAGGTAATATTCAGTAAATTACGCTATTCGCTGTTAAATTTGGCAATACAAAATTAGGTATTAGATGAGCCTATAAAAACTGTTTAAATACCTATAAACTACCAAATAAAAACTATCTACAACTAGGTCTTACTGGATTGATCTTTCGTGTAATTTTTGAGTCAAAATCCAAATAATTTTGAAATTTGGATGGTAAGTTCTATGTCATATGACTTCAAACCCTGTTATTCATTGATACATGATAGGTTAACTTATAGCCAAACTAAATAAATTCTACACCCAATAGATACTTGCAA